GGTTAAAAGCAAGATGGAGTCAGTTAGGTCAAATCTTTTTTCCCTATCTCAGTTATAATTTTGCAATGATGGTTTCATAACTTTAAATCATGACTATCATAGTTTTCATAAACAATCTAGGTAAACAATTCAGGTAATTAGGTAAATGTAATGGGATACATACTTGTAGAAAAATTTGTCATAATTTAGAATAGAAAGTTATATTAAATAATAGATATTTCACTATTTAGGTATTTTCCAATAAAATATATTGTAGGAAAACATTCATTCTTGCTTAAAAAAAAAGGTGTGTCTTTTTTAAAAAAGGTGAACAAGTTTTATCTAATTTAAAGCTTATTTAACGGTTATATATAAAACAAGGTAAAGGAACCAGGAAATAAGAGAGATGTAAAGAAAGTTATAAAAATAAAGAGGTATTTTTTGTGGTAAGAAAGCTTAAAGAGTAATAATTTTATATGAGAAAGAATCTTGTATGGTAAGTTTAGTCCTAAAATAAAATGACTGATTGTTTAAGAAAGAGGATGTTCAGGACAAAAGACAAAGTCCAGGCATGTGATGAATGGTCTGTATAAGTCATAGTAAGAGGATTTATTTTTTAAAAAAACCAAAAAACTTTATATGATCAAGTTGTTTATAAGTAAAGGGAAATTATATTGCTCTTCCTAGAGACTGGGCTTGATGTAAAAAAAATTTATGCACTAAATTCTTGGTTAGAACAATGAAATTTTCTTAATGGATTGATTTACTCTTAATAAATTATAACAGATTTTAATTTTTTTAACTGAAAGTTCAACTTTTATTGCATCTCACCATTTTTTGGCTTTTTCTCCCATTTTAAAAGGCATGTTTTCTTAAAGGTCTAAGGAAACGTTTTCTTTCAACATAATATTCTGTGCACTGCAGACGGTCTTTTCTTTTGCCTTTTGGTAAATGACCTCACAGATGTAACATTTTATTGAAATAATTCCTATGCCATGATTATTAGATTTGGTTTGCTTAGGAAAAGGATGATTTTTTGTTTTTGTTTTTGTTTGAGACGGAGTCTCACTCTGTTGCCCAGCCTGGAGTGCAATGGCGTGATCTCGGCTCACTACAGCCTCTACCTCTTGGGTTCAAGCGATTCTTCTGCCTCAGCCTCCCGAGTAGCTGGGACTACAGGGGCACACCACCATGCCCAGCTAATTTTTGTATTATTAATAGAGATGGGTTTCACCATATTGACAAGGCTGGTCTTGAACTCCTGACCTCATGATCTGCCCGCCTCAACCTCCCAAAGTACTGGGATTACAGGCATGAGCCACCACACCTGGCCGATATTTAATTTTTTTAATTAAAGTTATTACATTTGTGTATCTTCCTGTATGTGCTTTTAAAGTTCTTGTGACATTGAATTACAGGGCTTTGACTGCTGGGTCTGAAAAGGACACCAAGTCCTGCTCAATTTTTAAACACTGACAACAATTAAAACCCCACCTTTGGGCCCAGTAGAAGATGCCAATCAAAATCAACTGCATTCCTGAAACACAGGGACAGAAATTAAAGCTATTCAACTCCTCAAGGCCCATGGACTACCTCGGTAGAGGTGGGTGCATGAGATTGTAAGGGCTGATTTTAAAGATAAAATAAGTCAGTTTCTCTATAAATTAATCATTAATGTTGAAGGCACACTGAAGCAAGACCAGCATATGGGCCCCTGAGTCAAATTAACAAGGTTTTCTTGAAGTATTAACTGATTCCTATATAAAGATTGTAAAGGTTATGAAAGGCTTATGGAAGTTGTACCTTATGATCAAGATTAAAATTTTATAATTTTTAAATAAAATTTTGAAAAACAAATTTACTTAGCTTCTTGTACACCTGTCCAAGATTAGGCCTGTTTCTTATGAGTCCCCACAGGCACCTGAGAAAGACGCCATGGCCTACACTTGTGAACTTTTACAATACCTAAAGCTGTTGTTTTGGAAATAAACAGATGACTAACATCCTTAGTGCCTCCTACTCAGCCTCCTTAACAACTCCCATCCATACAGATTTGCACCCCCAGTGGATACCTATGGCCATGTGGTCACCTATTCAACCAGGCATAAATAGATTGTTTCTCATTTGGGATCATGAACCCAATGGTTACCAGCGTACCGATAACATTTGGTTCAGGGGTCAATGTACAACAAGACCAGAAAAGCCCTATGGTATACAATTATATAACATCACTTACCTGAGAGCTAAGCGGGCAATCCGCCTTATATTGGCTGGGGTTGAGGCTGCCATTGGCTTACTGACCCCATGGGGAAAATTTGCCTATCCTGAGGCAACTCTTCAAAACTTTACTTCTTCATTCTACACACTGTCTCATAAAACAGGAGACACTTAGATACATTAAAACTCTCTCTTGATTCCTTTGCAGATATAATAATGGATGATAGATTAGCATGAGATTAATTATTGCTTGAACAAGGGGACATGTGCACTATAATCATTAAAACCTGTTGTGTTTATTAATGCTGAGTTAATACCTGAGTTAACACCTCAGGTCAAATAGAAGAAAATGCTTGTAAAATATATGAGCAAGCTGCCCAGTTGCATAAATATAACAAAGGTTCTGATCTCAACTATATCTGATCAACCTTTAAAAGCGCCTTCCTGAGTCTCACTTGGTTCTGCCCTTCCTAGGAACTTTGTTAGCTATCTTGTTATTACTAATTGTTGGTCCTTGCTTGTTTATCTTCTTGGTAAACTTTGTGTCTTCTAGATTACAACAATAGGAAACATCCCAAAGGCTATGAAATGCTGGCAGATATTACACTAGGGTTTAGGGATTTGAGCTCTGCACTTTTTTCTTTTTTGCTTTTCTATCATTTCTAAAGATGAGGCAAAGTGGGAAGACAGGGAGGTGTGGGTTCCAGTCCAGGTGGAGCTGTGGGGCCCTGAGCGAATAGGTGACCTCTGGAGCCTGAGTACACCAGGGCTGCGGCCTGCACTGTTGGTGCAGGTGGCCCTCCTGGCTGGTCCTTGCCCTTGGAGAGGTCAGCCGTCTGTCCTTCGAGGAGGCAGCAGGATGGGGAGGACCTCTGTCCCCCATAAGCCATGTGGCCAGAGCAGGCTCCTGCCCCATCGTGGTGGTGTGAGGGAGGGGCAGGGCTGTGCATCCTCACAGGCCCTTAGCTCAGAGGCCCTGTGACCTGAGGGACAGCTCAGGAGGTCGAAGGGGGCCACAGGTTTCAGGTTGGCCCCGGCATCGAGAGCCCAGCGAGGCCTCCCGCGTCCTTGCCCTTCCTCTCCTCACCTGGCCCAAGGCATTCCAATGCAAGGAAGTCTGGGGAACAGAGTGTGTGGGTCCTGTCTTGCTCTGTCCTGGACACCTCCAGCCCAATGTGGATGGGCCCCAGCCCTGGAGCATGCTGCCTTGTGTCTCTGAACCTAAGCCCCAGGGAGAAGGACCCCCTTCCACCAGGGGATAGGGGCTACTGTGTGGGCACTGGAGTGGGCTGAGTCCTGCTCAGTGAGGACCGGCGCTCTTATCACTGAGGCATCTGCCTCTGCACTGCAGGCCTCCAGAGCTCCTCCCTGGCCATCCCAGCATTCTTGATCCTCTTTCCTTGCTTTTTTCTCCTAGTTCTTATCACCAGGGTAATTAGGAGCACCTGGAACAGCATGTCGACCATAGCAGGGGCTCGATAACTATGTGCTGAATGGACGGAGCCGAGCAGGGCACCAGCCTCCCTCACCCAGCGTCCTGGACGCTCCCCAGAGCAGGTCAGCAAGCCTGGGCTGGCAGCTTCAGGAGACACAGTGTGGCCAGCAGCACATGCCTGAGCCTAGGGCGCCAGTTCCCGCCCCAGAGCCCTGAGGGGTGCAAAGTTCTGTGCAGGTCTGCAGGGTCCTCCTGGAAAACAATGGCCTAGCCCTCAACTCTGGACTCGGCCCCGGGCCAAGGCAGGTCTGAGTGTGCCTTGGGCCCGGGAGGGTGGGGGGATGTCGGGCAGGCTGAAGCCCAGAGCTCACCATGGAAGCCCGGCAGGCTGGGCTGGGTGTAGGCGAGGTGGGGAGGGTGTGACCAGTGCCCAGGGTCACTCAGATGCTGGCCTGGGGAGCTGCACCCTGCTGACAGTGCCACCCTGGGCCCGTGGTGTTCAGGAGGGAGGTCTCCCCGTGAAGTCACATGTCAGACGGAAGGGCTCTTTCCAGCATAGCTCTGCCCACTGGCTGCTCCATGACCCTCCCCCAGAGGTCCAGGCCAGGGTTCCAGTCCTGGCTCGGTATGGGATGTGGGCAACAGACCCGTTCCCTTTCCTAAGCCTCTGTCTTCTCTTCTCTGAAAATCCCCCGAGCCCTACCCCTAACACCCTTGGAGGCCCCACCCTGAGCAGGTCCCCACTCAGGTCACAGACTGCACCCTCAGCCCTAGGGCAGGAGGCAGGCTGTGTGCGAAAGGCTTCTCCTGAGTGCAGGAGGCAAGTGTGGATGGCGTCCTCCCACTCAGGTGCCTGGGGATGATGGCGGGGCACAGGTTCTCCCAGAAAGAAGCCCCTGGCACTCCAGAGACAGAAGGGGCTGGGGTTCAGGGTTGGGGGAGGCCACCTGTCACTGGGGACCCTGCTGTAGTGTTTGGATGCTGTATGGCGGGTGTGCAGCGCTAAAACAAATTTTGAAAAATGGGGGTGCTCAAATGAGGCCAAAAGGACGAGTGGGAGCGTGAATGGTAGTAGCCCCTCCCCTCGGAACCCTCTCCTTCCTGTGAACTTTCTGGGTCCATCCTCCCAGCAGGGAGGGGTCATAGATGAGCCGGAAGGCTCAGAGAGTTCTGGCCACATGCTTCAGGCAACACAGCAAGTGCAAGTCCTGGGAACTGCCCTCCCCCACTCTGCAGGGACGTCCTCCTTTCGTGGCCAAGCTTTGCTCCTGTCAGGGCAGAGGCTGCAGCCCATATGACCAGGGCCCTGGACCAGACACAGCCCCGGATCCCGTCCCCACCTGGGGTGTGCAAGGACAGAGGGTCTCTCTGGCTTATTCAACAGGTGTTTATTAAGGGCCTACGCTGTGCTGAGGCTGCCGTTCAGGGAGCCCCATGAATGTGAGGTCTGGCCCCTCCCTTCAGGCCTCCAGGCCCCATCTCTGGAGCCTCCCAGGAACTCATGCTACCCCCGTCCTCCAGTTCTACTCAGTCCACTTCATCTCAGCCTTTGCTGGGCCCTCCTGAGTGCCTGTCCCCTGCTGGGTGTGGGGGACACCCATGGACCAGACCTGGCTCAGGTCATAGATGGGGTAGGCAGGGAAGGCTTCCTGGAGGAAGAGGTGCCTGAGCACAGGGTTAAGGGTGGAGAATGCTGGGCCATGGAAACAGCAGCAGAGAGGGTTGGAGGGGCCGTCTGCAGGCCGATCTGTGTCACTAGAGCCGATCTGCCGGTGGGAGTCCTGGAGAGGGCCATGGGAGGGTCAGGGTGGAGGGCAGAGGCGCAGAGGGACATGGTCAGACCTGTGTTAGGACGTGCCTCAGGAACCAGGACAGGCTCCCACTGGGCCGGGTGTGTGAGGAGTGGCACGGGGACCTGGGGCACCACACCCAGTGTGGGCTGCAGCAGGGCCCCCGGAAGCCTACAGCTGTCTGGGGCCCCAAAGCAGCAGGCTGAGCGCAGGGAGCAGTGCCAGGATGGCGGCAGCCGGCTGCAGGGCATGGGCCCCGCTGGCGTTGCACAAGTCGGTGTCACAGCAGGTGATGTTCTTCTTGCCCACGTAGTAGTCCTGTGAGTCATCCACGCAGTTTGAGCTGCAGCCTTTGCTGATGACGGTCAGGAGGCCCACGGCGCCTGGGGAGCAGCGGGACCCGGGGATGGGGCTGCCCTGCATGCTCACCCGCCTGACCTGTCCCAGGCCTCCTCCTGTCCCCACCCTGCCTGAAGCTCTAGAGTCCCCCTGGGCTGGCCTCAAGATTGCAAGCAGTGCAAGGGCCTGGTCTCAGCCCTATCCAGATGCCCAAGTCAAGTGGACCACCCACTGAACGTCAGCAATGGTGTGAATGAGTGAGCAAGCACAGGGATGGGGAGGGACAGAAGGATGGAGGAGTGGCAGATGGAGGATGGGGAGGGACAGATGGGTGGAGGAGTGGCAGATGGAGGATGGGGAGGGACAGA